AGGACCTTCTTGTGTCCGATTGCAAAGTAAATGCTTTCAAAAAAATTATTTCTTTTTGGATTTTCTTTTTCATTATTGTCTGCAAAACAAATTCATTTAGTCCTGATGCTCTCTTCTTTTGGTGTGTTTCCCTTTCTGGTGCCTTCCGACTGCATGGTGTCTCTGGGTGAAGGAGGAGGGGAGTCTCAGGCCCATCAGAGAAGAAGAAGAAAGCTTCCCTGGCCCCTTATATATAAGTGGGCTTCTGATCCACCCTATTTGCTGGGCTCAGGTGGTGGTATAGGTGGACTCCTATGCAATGTTGGGGAGACCTTAGCTTACCTGGGCTGCCTTCTGTTGCTAGGCTTATATCAGAAAATGCTGGACCTGGATCACCTCTTTTGTAGGTTGGAAGGACATAGGATACCCTGACACTGTGTCGCTTCTCCAGTCCTGGGATCTCAAACTGATGCACCCTCGTCTTCTACCTCTCAGAGTTCCCCCTTTCATTGTCTCTTGAGTTATTTTTGCAATGTTTATTATTGTGCATTGTGGAGAGGACTAGAGAGGGCAAGAATCTGCCATCTTATCCAGGTCAGAAATGGAGGAGTTACATCTTAGAAATGATTTTTAGTCTAATACTTTCATGATCTGAAGGAGAAAGCAAATATTTTGTATGGTCTGTAAGGCTAATTCCTTCTGGTTAATTAAGTAATAGTAAGCCTGATAAATTCCATTGGTATTAGTCATCACCTGCTTTCTTTTACTCTGAAGTGAGTTCCATTGCCAGGTGCAATGTTGTTTGAGATACCCTGATTGGATATCATGGATGTGCGGGAACAAGCATGATGTCAGGAAAAGAAAACTTCAGCTAGAAACAATTTGTATTCCACTGAGGACTAGTTACTCTCCTGCACATGATGACAAGAGTGAAATGTTAATAATTTTAAAATTATTTGTGAAGGCCGGGCACGGTGGCTCATGCTTGTAATCCCAGCACTTTGGGAGGCCGAGGCAGGTGGATCACAAGATCGGGAGTTCAAGACCATCCTGGCTAACATGGTGAAACCCCATCTCTACTAAAAAAAACAAAAAACAAAAAAAAATAGCCAGGCGTGGTGGCGGGCGCCTGTAGTCACAGCTACTCGGGAGGCTGAGGCAGGAGAATGGCATGAACCCGGGAGGTGGAGCTTGCCGCAAGCCAATATTGCGCCACTGTACTCCAGGCTGGGAGACAGAGAGAGACTCCATCTCAAAAAAAAAAAAAAAAAAAAGACACATAGACCAATGGAACAGAATAGAGAACCCAGAAATAAACCCAAATACTTATAGCCAACTGATCTTTGACAAAGCAAACAAAAACATAAAGTGGAGAAAGGACACCCTTTTCAACAAATGGTGCTGGGATAATTGGCTAGCTACGTGTAGAAGAATGAATCCTCATCTCTCACCTTATAAAAAAAATCAACCAAGATGGATTAAGGACTTAAATCTAAGACCTGAAACCATAAAAATTCTAGAAGATAACATTGCAAAAACCCTTCTAGACATTGGCTTAGGCAAGAATTTCATGACCAATAACCCAAAAGCAAATGCAATAAAAGCAAAGATAAATAATTGGGACTTAATTAAACTAAAGAGCTTTTGCACAGCAAAAGTAACAATCAGCAGAGTAAACAGACAACCCATAGAGTGGGAGAAAATTTTCACAATCTATACATCTGACAAAGGACTAATATCCAGAATCTACAACAAACTGAAACAAATCAGTAAGAAAAAAAAACAAACTCCCATCAAAAAGTGGGTTAAGAACATGAATAGACAATTCTCAAAAGAAGATATACAAATGACAACAAACATATGAAAAAATGCTCAACATCACTAATGGTCAGGGAAATGCAAATCAAAACCACAATGCGATACCACCTTACTCCTGCAAGAATGACCATACTCAAAAACATCAAAAAACTGTAGATGTTGGCATGGATGCAGTGAACAGGGAACACTTCTACACTGCTGGTGGGAAGTAAACTAGTACTACCACTGTGGAAAACAGTGTGGCGATTCCTTAAAGAACTAAAAGTAGAACTACTTGATTGAGCAGTCCTACTACTGGGTATCTACCCAGAGGGAAAGAAATCATTATATGAAAAAGATACTTTCACATGCTTATTTATAGCAGTACAATTCACAATTGCAAAATCATGGAACCAACCCAAATGCCCATCAATCAAAGAGTGGATAAAGAAAACTGTGGTATGTTTATACACTGGAATACTACTCAGCCACAAAAAGGAATGAATTAACGGCATTTGCAGTGACCTCGATGAGATTGTAGACTGTTACTCTAAGTGAAGTAACTCAGGAATGGAAAACCAAACATTGTATGTCCTCACTGATATGTGCAAGCTAAGCTATGAGGATGCAAAGGCATAAGAATGATACAGTGGACTTTGGGGACTTGGAGGGAAGAGTAGGAGGGGGGCGAGGGATAAAAGACTACAAATACGATGCAGTGTACACTGCTCAGGTGATGGGTGTACCAAAATCTCACAAATCACCACCAAAGAACTTACTCATGTAACCAAATACCACCTTTACCCCAATAACTTGTAGAAAAAAATTTTTTAAGTAAAAATAAATACATAAATAAAACATGTTGCTTTAGTTCAGTGGCTGGCTGCCCCAGCCACACATTAGAATCGCCTGAGAGCTTTTAGAAATTAGTGGCCTGTAGCCACTGTACACGGGGACTCTAGCAGGGTTTCACTTGCTGGAGATCTTTACTTGATTGGTTTTGGCTGGAGTCCAGGCATCTAAATTTTTTTAAAGCTTCCTCCATGAACCTAATGTGTATTCAGAGTTAAGAACCATTGCATCTTAAGAATAATATATTTCAAACCTGGGCAACATAGCGAGACCTCGTCTCGACTAAAAATAAAAATTTAGTTGGGCGTAGTTGCCTGCGCCTATAATCCTAGCTACTTGAGAGGCTGAGGTGGGAGGACCCAAGAGTCCCAGGCTGCAATGAGCCATGTTCGTGCCACTGTACTCCAGCCTGGGTGACAGAGTAAGACCTTATCTTAAAAAATAATAATAATATATTTCAGCTCTAACTTTTTATACCTTAGAAGTGAATTTTTAGTCAGATTACTTTCTATTGGCATGCCGTTCTTTTTATGCTGCTTTTATACCCTTTAAGACATTAAGCAAGATTCCAGGCACAAAACATGTTCTTACTACGTTCTGATTGAAGTGAAATCATAAAAAAAAAAAAAAGACAATTTCTTAAATGTAGTCTTAATCCTGTTATGTCTGTGTATCCAAATCAGTTGTAAATGTATGCATATTGTATATAACAAACTACATGGGCCGGGCGCGGTGGCTCAAGCCTGTAATCCCAGCACTTTGGGAGGCCGAGACGGGCAGATCACGAGGTCAGGAGATCGAGACCATCCTGGCTAACACGGTGAAACCCCGTCTCTACTAAAAATACAAAAAAACTAGCCGGGCGAGGTGGCGGGTGCCTGTAGTCCCAGCTACTCGGGAGGCTGAGAAAGGAGAATGGTGTAAACCCGGGAGGCGGAGCTTGCAGTGAGCTGAGATCCGGCCACTGCACTCCAGCCTGGGCGACAGAGCGAGACTCCTTCTCAAAAAAAAAAAAAAAAAAAAAAAAAAAACTACATGAATATTGCCCGTAGCATTTGCATTATTTTTCACATACACACATTTAAGTTTTTGCCCTGACCCCCCAAAAAAACCAAAAACTGTGCTAATTATAATTTTAGAGGACCAATGCTGAAGGTCCTAAAAAGTCCCCCCAAAACTGTCAGCTATCGAGAATAAAGCCCATTTAGATGAGGACTTCCAAAGAAAGGAAATAGGGACAATCAATCAAGAGTACTGCTAAGATCAATGATGTTGAGAATTTTAGACTTGGAACAAGCTCAAGGATGAGTATGTTGGAGAGAACAAGATGCAAAATACTACTTAAATTATAGGCAGGAATAATGAAAAAGGATGTAGTCAAAAGTAGATGGAGGTGGGGTGTGGTGGCTCACAGCTGTAATCCTAGAACTTTGGGAGATCAAGGTGGAAGGATGCTTGAGGTCAGGAATTCAAGACTAGCCTAGGCAACATAATGAGACCCCATCTCTCAGACTGCATATATATGCATGTCTCCTGCAGATAGATAAAGCAGAGAAATGGAACTGAGAAAGGAAGGGAAAGAATCACAGATTTGCTGGACTAAAATGTATCTTGAGAGAATTCAAGGCAAGATTATAAACTAGTCCAGATCATTTCCTACTTTTTTATTTAAGCCTGTGGAGCATGGTTTAAAATTACAGGACAGGCATGGTAGCTCACACTTATAATTCCAACACTTTGGAAGGCTGAGGCATGAGGATCTCTTAAGCCCAAGAGTTCCAGAAAAGCCTGGGCAACATGGTGAAACCCCATCTCTACTTGTGGTGGTGTGCACCTATTGTCCCAGCTACTCAGGGTCTGAGGTAGGAGGATTGCTTGAGCCCAGGAGGTTGAGGCTACAGTGAGCCATGATCATGCCACTGCACTCCAGCCTAGGCAACACAGCAAGACTCTGTCTCAAGAAAATAAAATAAAATAAAATTACAGCAGTAAGTTCTAAAAAAAGAAATAAGATGAAAATGTATATCGAAAAATAATTAAATAGTAAGAAGAGTGAACTACTGAAAATTCATCTGCTAGGGGTTATTATGCTGGAAAATATGACAGCATGATAATTTCTGGGCATATTTGAAAAGGGTTCCCAAACATCACAAACTCAAGTTGCAGTTTGCTCCAGTAACAGTAGCATGATGATCACTCTCATAAGAGTGGCTCCTGTGTCACGAAAGACCCCAGAGAAGAATCATATCTTGAAAGGCTCCAGTGAAATCCATTTAGGATACTGAAAGAATGGAATTTGATTTGTGCATCCTCTTTTCATTATTCCATCGTTCCCCGTAAATTGAGAAGAGAATCCAGTGAGACAGTGAGACTGGTAAAATATTTCAATACCTCTTTAATAACACTCTGAGTTTGTATAATAGTATGACTCATTACTGTGGATGTAAGATGTGCAATGGCTCTTTATTCTCTCCACCATCATTAAGGCAGGGGCAGAAGTAGGGATAAAGTTTCTCTATGAAAGTGTTACTGAAGGTATAAATGTGAGTCATGGTTTTAGCATTGTAGAAGGACACCTGCCCTCCTTCATAATCCAGGTATATGCCCACTTTGTCGAGGTTGTTAGTCAGTGTCAGACTGCAAGAAGGCAAATCCAGAGCCTTTAGATCAGTTTGGTTCCTTAGTCTTAAAAGCCAGAATCCTTGCTCAGGAGTTAGAGGACAGCTGCCTTTCCGAATGATGGATTCTCTGACGACTCCAACTGTCCATTTTGTCTTCTTTGCTACTTCTACTTCCCAGTACCACTTTCCAGAGGTGAAGCCTCTTGAGCCCAGCACAGCCACACTTGAGTCAAACCTCTCTGGATCATCAGGCATTACCTTCTTAATGTCACCATGCCAGACGCTGGTTTGGTTTTTGGAGAGCACCAGATTTGGGTGAGCTGTTTTAGGGTCCAGAGTTAGTGGAGATAGGCCTAGTAAGAAAATAAAAGAAAGCAGAGCATGGGAGAAAAGGGGGTAAACACAAATTCCCATAGTGAAAGATAGTGTTTCATATTCAACAGTACTTTATCTCCCCATACACATAGACTCTTAGACAGGCAAGCAATTACTTACATGCTTTTTTTTTTTTTTTTGAGACAGACACTCTGTTGCCCATGCTGGAGTGCAGCGGTGCGATCTCAGCTCACTGCAACCTCCACTTCCTAGGCTCAAGAAATTCTCATGCCTCAGCCCCCCAAGTAGCCAGAATTACAGGTGTGCGCCACCACACCTGGCTAACCTTTTTAATTTTTTAGTAGAGATAGGGTTTCACCATGTTGGCCAGACTGGCCTCGAACTCCTGGCCTCAAGTAACCCGCCTGCCTCGGCCTCCCAAAGGACTGAGATTACAGACATGAGCCACCGCACTTGGCCACTTACATGCTTTTTATTGTTTGGGTATCCATGTTACTATATTCTAGACATTTTTATATTTAGTGTAAAAATCCGGGTTTACTCTGAAGTAATTTATGCTCCACTAAAGGAAACAATACAAATAATATAAACCTGTACTAATAAATATAAGAAAATACAAATGCCAAAGGGGTAAACATTAGGTAAGGATGTTCTAGAAAAGCTTTCTGAGGAAGGTAAGTATTCGGTTGTGATATATATGCGATGTATTTAGGATGTTTTGAATAAACAGAGGGAAAGAAATAAATGGATTAAAAACAGTCCCTTGTGTGGAAAAGAACACAAGAGCTTGCCTGTTAGACACAGGCAAGACTGAACTAATTGGTACAGAGTTTAGAGGACAATAGTGAGAGGTTTATGTTTGTTTAACAGATGATGAGATTTTTGAGATCTGGAGTGGTTTATATCATTGCTACTCATAACGTGGTCCACGTACCATGTGGTTAACAGTCTGGGACAAAGATATATAGAAATTAGGAGTAAACTTTTAGAAATCTTCATAATAAATTGACAGTAATTGTATGTTAGTTGAATCTAATAATGACAAAATTGGGCTTGTACTTTGTAATCTTTCCCTTTTTAATTTTACTTTTTTGAGTAATTTATATTGTATTCTACAAAAGTATCAGTCCATGACAGATTGAGACTTTTTAAATTGGCCCTTCATCACAGATAATTTTACAAGCATTGATTTAGACAATTCAAAGGGCAGCAGCATAAAAAAGAATATCTAGGCTAAATGAAGAGAAGTTGAAAGCTGACCAGCAAGAGGATGAGACAAATTCCAGATGTGAGATCATTGGACCTTGGCATGAAATTTGATAAAGAAGACATAATATCTGTGTGTGTTCATACCATGGACGCAGATACATATATGTATGCATTCATGCATTTGTTGTTATTGGATTTATTTATCCTTGGAAGCAAAATCAATCTAGTTTCTCTCTCTCTCTCTCTCTCTCTTTATTTTTTTTTTTATTTTTTGAGATAGAGTCTTGCTCTGTCCCCCAGGCTGGAGTGCAGTTGCACAACCTTGGCTCACTGCAACCTCCGCCTCCTGGATTTAAGCAATTCTCCTGCTTCAGCCTCCCGAGTAGCTAGGATTACAGGCATGCACCACCACACTCAGGTGATTTTTTTGTAATTTTAGTAGAGACAGGATTTCACCACGTTGGCCAGGCTAGTCATGAACTCTAGTCTAACTCTATCTTCTCAGAAAAACCTGAGTCTTTTCCATCATCCCAAGGACTTCTCTTTCCAACAAGAGGCTTTGAAGAATTAAGAATCTTAAATTTTTCCATATAGGCTAAATCCCTATCTGCTTACATATCCCCATTCACTTTGGGTTGTTCATCTTTCTGATGTGAGGACTAGGTTTTCTTTGGAGGTATCATAAAGACTTTTTAGCAACCTTTTGGAATCCCAGTCTGCTCTCTTTGCTAAGCCTCTGATACACCTCTAGCTAGTTCAGCCTGCATTGGCTCTGAAGATTCCTATGAGTCAGCTTTTTGTCTTCTCTTTCCTTCTCATGCTGTATTCGTATAACAAAAAGTTCTGTCAGCTCCACCTTCAAAATATATCTTGTGCCCAAACACTTCTGACTACTTCCAGAAATATCACTGGCCTGGAACTACTGCAATAGCTTTTTACTCTTCTGTTTCCCCTCTTGCCCATCTGTACCCTATTCTATACATATCATGAATGAGATCATGCCATTTTCCTGCTCAACATACTTGTATGTTTACCACCACATCTGAGATAAAATCCAGAGTCCTTACAGAGGAAAAAAGAGCCACATGATTTACCTACCTCTCTACTACATCTCCTACCACACTCTCCCTCATTTACTTTGATTCATCCACCCTTGCCTTTTGGCAGTTCCTTGAATATAATGAAGTTCATTCCTACTTCAGGGTCCTTACAGTTTCTTCCCTTGTCCTAGAATGCTTTTTTCCCGTATTGTTCACTCCACATTGTTTGGGCATTTGTTCATGCAAATATTTTAAATTGAATAATTCCCTAAGCTAGAATAGGCAGACTACAACCAACAGGTCAAATCTGGCCCACTGCCTACTTTGTAAGTAAAGTTTTATTGGAGTACATTTATGACCATTCATTTATATGTTGTCTGTAGCTTCTTTTTCACTACAAGAGCAGAGTTAAGTAGTTGCAACAAAGACCATACACCTGCAAAGCCTAAAATATTTACTCTTCAAACCTTTACAGAAAAAGTGCCAGCTCCAGCTCTAAAGCAACAGCCTAATTTATAAGCCTGGCAGAAAAGGAGAATATATGGATCTACAAAATAAGCAAAGACTTAGAAATAAAAAGTATGGAATATATTTTACAAAGGTCTGACCACAGTTACCATAGAAAAACAATTTCCCACTCTGTATAGAGGGAGAGTATATAGATAAATAATACATTATTAACAGTCATGTATTAAATAAATCTCATTTGGTTTTCTTGATGTAAAATTATACCAAAAATTTAAAAATCAGTAATGCACTTTAAAAGATTGCTAGAAGTGAAGTTTGGCTTTACAGAGCAAAGTATACAGGAAGAAAAACTCTGTATCATACTAAGGCGCTACAGTTTGCTGAGCAGAGTAACACAGAGGAGGGAACTTCACAGAAACTTCTGAACATTTACAAAGGGATTCTCTCAAGGCTGTGGCTGAGTACTGATCTGCACATGCATGTAGTGAAACTCGTCAAGGCCAGAGAAAGAATCTCCAGAAATCAGTAGACCGAATGATTTCTGCAGCTCACACAAGGCTGGGAATAATTTTCAATCTTGCCAACCAGAATGGAAAAATGTCATAATATGTCACCATCAGGTAGAGTGATCAGAAGGGTATATTACTTTAGAAAATGGACTAAGCGCTAGATTAAAGGCTGTTCTTGAACCACTCTAACAAGGCTTTATTTAAGCCTCAAAAGGAACAAATGATTTCATACAATGTTAACTGCATGCCAGAGTTAAATTCAATAGAACTGAAAGAACTACAACAAAATCCAGCAAATATAAAATTCACCAATATGAATTCATCAGTATGAACAATATGAAATTCATTGTATTTGGCATCCAGTAAAAAATTACCAACCAGAAGAGACAAATCTCCAGGCAGCAAAATTTCAAATAATTTACATTAACACTCTACCCTCAGGGAGAGGGAGCATAACTACCCACTCCTTAAGCGTGGGCTGTGCACAATGACTGCCTTCCAAAGCATACAAGTGTAGAAGGAGGAAAAAAGAGTATAGTAGAGAAACCTGACACTTTCTCAGCCAGGTGATGAAAGTCAACATCAATAGTCATAAATCATGTTGACAGTATGAACACTTAATATGACGTGATGACAATGGCACTTTAACGCTACTGTCTTCCTCTCCCAACTCATAACCCAAATTTTATGAGGAAAACATCACACAAATTGCAATAGTGCAGCATCCTTACAAAATATATGACCAGTACTCCTCAAAACTGTCTAAGTCATAAAAAATAAGGCAAGTTTGAGAAACTGTCACAGCCAAGGGGAGCCTAAAGAAAATGACAACTTAGTGTAATGTGGCATCTTAGATGGGAACCTGAAACAGAAAAATGACTTAGGTAAAAACTAAGAAAACCTAAAGGAACTGTGGATTTTAGTTAATAATGTATCAATTTTGGTTCATTAGTTGTTAAAAATGTTAAATCTAAGATGTTAATAATAAGGAAAACTGAGGATGGGGCATATAAAAAACTCTATACTATCTTCTCAGTTTTTCTGTAAAATTAAAAAATCTAAAAGTGTCCTAAAAAATAAAGCCCATTAAAAAGTAAAAGATGGCCGGGCGCAGTAGCTCAAGCCTGTAATCCCAGCACTTTGGGAGGCCGAGACGGGCGGATCATGAGGTCAGGAGATCGAGACCATCTGGCTAACACGGTGAAACCCCGTCTCTACTAAAAAATACAAAAAAACTAGCCGGGCGAGGTGGCGAGTACCTGTAGTCCCAGCTACTCGGGAGGCTGAGGCAGGAGAATGGCATGAGCCCAGGAGGCGGAGCTTGCAGTGAGCTGAGATCCAGCCACTGCACTCCAGCCTGGGCCGCAGAGCAAGACTCCGCGCTCAAAAAAAAAAAAAAAAGAAAAAGATTACTAGCCAAGCAAAGCAGCAGGAAAATATGACTCTCAGTCAGGAGAACAATCAAACAATAAAATCAGGCCCAGAAATGACAATGATGATCGAATTAGCAGACAAGGACACTAAAATGGATAAATGTCTTCCATTTTTTTAAGAATGTAGAGGAAGGCATGAACATGGTGAGAAGAGAAAGGAAAGATATTAAAAGACCCAAATGAAACTTCTAGAGATGAAATGAAATGTATATAAAATGAAAATATCTTGAACAATATTAAGAGAAGATTAGACTGTGCAGAAGAAAAGATGAGAACTTGAATAACAATAGAAACCATTTAAAGTGTGAGGCAAAAAAAGACTAAAATAAAGACTGCATATCGATGACATGAGACAACTTGACAGTATCAAGCTGTCTAAAATATGTAAAATTAGACTCCAAGAAGGAGAGAAGGAAAAGGGGTTGGTAAAAAAGTATTTGAAGAAATACCAGCTGATATTATTCCAAATTTGTTGAAAATTATAAACTCTTAGATCCAAGAAGCTTGATGAAGCACAATCAGAATAAATACAAAGAAAATCACACCAAGACCCCATATAATCAAATTGATGGAAGCAAGTGACAAAAAGCAAGTCTTAAAATTAGCCAAAGAGGGCCGGGCGCGGTGGCTCACGCCTGTAATCCCAACACTTTGGGAGGCCGAGGCAGGCGAATCATGAGGTCAGGAGATGGAGACCATCCTGGCTAACACAGTGAAACCCCGTCTCTACTAAAATACAAAAAATTAGCCAAGCATGGTGGCGGGCACCTGTAGTCCTAGCTACTCGGGAGGCTAAGGCAGGAGAATGGCATGAGCCCAGGAGGCAGAGCTTGCAATGAGCTGAGATTGCGCCACCACACTCCAGCCTGGGCAACAGAGCGAGACTCCGTCTCAAAAAAAAAAAAAAAAAATTAGCCAAAGAGACCAGGCACAGTGGCTTATGCCTGTAATCCCAGCACTTTAGGAGGCCAAGGCAGGTGAATCACTTGAGGTCAGGAGTTGGAGACCACCCTGGCCAACATGGTGAAACCCCATCTCTACTAAAAATTTTAAAACAAATAAAAAAAGTTAGCCAGGCATGGTGGTGCATGCCTTCATCCTAACTACTGGGGAGGCTGAGGTAGGAGGATTCCTTGAACCCAGTAAGCAGAGGTTGTAGTGAACCGAGATCAGGCCACTATACATTCTAGCCTGGGCGACACAGCAAGGTTCTGTTTAAAAAAAAAAAAGAAGAAGAAGAAGATGAAAGGGAAAGCTAAAAGGCACTCAATCCAAAAGAAGGACGGTATAGAGAAAAAAAGGAAGAAAAGCCAGATAGTATGGTTAAAAAACAAATAACCAAAATGGTTGATTTAAGCCCAGTTTTACTAATAACATTAAATGTAAATAGTCAAAACACTTCAATTGACAGACAGAGATTGTCAGATTGAATAAAAAAGCAAGACTAAACTATATGCCTGCTACATAAAACCTACCTAAAATATAAAAACACAAGTTAAAAGTAAGGTGATGGGAAAACATGTATTGTGCAAACAGATAATTTTGATTGATTAAAGAAACAAATCTAAAGAAAACCAGAGTGATAATACTGTATTAGACAAAACAGACTTCAGGGCCGGGCGTGGTAGCTCATGCCTGTAATCCCAGCACTTTGGGAGGCCGAGGCAGGCGGATCATGAGGTCAGGAGTTCGAGACCATACTGGCTAACACGGTGAAACCTCGCCTCTAATAAAAATACTAAAAATTAGCCGGGCATGGTGGCAGGCGCCTGTAGTCCCAGCTACTCGGGAGGCTGAGGCAGGAGAATGGCGTGAACCCGGGAGGTGGAGCTTGCAGTGAGCTGAGATCGTGCCACTGCACAGGGATAAAGATGACCATTTTATAATTTTAGTGAGATTGAGGCATCAAAAGATAATAACAATCTTAAGAGTGTATTCACCTAAATAATAGAGCTGCAAAATACATGCAGCATCTTGAGGAGTTTTATGACCAGTCAGTGACTCACTTGGTAAATTGGACTGTATTAAAATTTAAAATGCTTGTTCTTTGAAAGACCCTGTTAGAAAATGAAAAAGCGGCCAGGCGTGGTGGCTCATGCCTGTAATCCCAGCACTTTGGGAGGCCGAGGCGGGTGGATCATGAGGTCAGGAGATCGAGACCATCCTGGCTAATATGGTAAAACCACATCTCTACTAAAAATGCAAAAAAATTATCCGGGCGTGGTGGCGGGTACCTGTAGTCCCAGCTATTCAGGAGGAGGCTGAGGCAGGAGAATGGCGTGAACCTGGGAGGCGGAGCTTGCAGTGAGCCGAGATCGAACCACACTCGAGCCTGGGTGACAGAGCGAGACTCCATCTCAAAAAAAAAAAAAAAAAAAAAGAAAGAAAAAAAAAAGGCAAGCCATGGAGAGAAAATATTTAAGAAATATATATCTGATAAAGGATTTGTATCCTTTACAACTTAATAATAAAACAATTTAATAAAAATATAGACAAAAGATTGAACACAACCAAAAAAATATATGAATGGCAAGGAAGCACATTAAAAGACGCTCAGCAAGGTTGCTCATTAGGGATATGCAGCTGGGCACCACAGCTCATGCCTGTAATTCCAACACTTTGGGAGGCTGAGGTGGATGGATCACTTGAGGCCAGGAGTTCAAGATCAGCCTGACCAACATGGCAAAACCTCGTCTCTACTAAAAATACAAAAATTAGCTAGGCATGGCAGTGCACGCCTGTAATTCCAGCTACTCGTTAGTCTGAGGCACAAGAATCACTTGAGCCTCGGAGGCAGAGGTTGCAGTGAGCTGAGATGCACCACTGTACTCTAGCCCGGGCATCAGAGTGATACTCTGTCCCACCCTCCCACCAAAAAAAGAGATACTACTATACATTCAATAAAATGGTTTAAATTAAAAAGATTGACAATATCAAGTTTTGGAAAGGATATAGAGCAATGAATTTTCATTAATTGCAGGATGGATAAAACTACCATGGACTACCCCATGTCCATCAATTGGTACATGAATAAGTAAACTGAATGAATAATCATGATTATTGTTACATGGAACAACATAAGCGCTCAAAAAGCATTATGCGGCCGGGTGTGGTGGCTCACACCTGTAATCCCAGCACTTTGGGAGGCCGAGGTGGGCAGATCACAAGGTCAGGAGATCAAGACCATCCTGGCTAACACGGTGAAACCCCATCTCTACTGAAAATACAAAAAATTATCCAGGTATGGTGGCGGGCGCCTGTAGTCCCTACTACTTGAGAGCCTGAGGCAGGAGAATGGCGTGAACCTGGGAGGCGGGGTTTGGAGTGAACCGAGAAGGCGCCACTGCACTCCAGCCTGGGCAATGGAGTGAGACTCCATCTCAAATAAATAAATAAATAAAATTAAAAACAAAAAAAATGTGCTAAGTGAAAAAAACAGATACAAAACACTATATAATGTATGCTATCGCTTAGACAAAAATTTAGAAAAGACACATTTAAGGTGAAATAAAACATGTCAGTGAATGTTAGAGGCAGAGAGTAGAAGGAAGAAATTGATTGTAAAGAGGCATGTAGGAACTTTTGGGAGTGATAAAAATCTTCCATATTTTGATTATGGCAATGTTTACCTAAGTGTATGTATACATCAGAACTCATCAAATTGTGCCCTTAAAATTGGTTAATTTTACTCTATGTTAACTATATCTCAGTATAGTTGATTTTTTTCAATGTCAATTACCTGGAAAAATTTGTGATTTTTCATTAAATCAGGGATTTATTTGTGATTTCTCATTAAATCAATAACCATAAACAATAATAATAATGTCTATGAATTCTATAAAAACTCTGTTTAGAATTTTATTTCTATAAAGATTTTTATTTAGAACTTTATTTGATGTTCTTGAAATGCCATGTGTGTTATTTTGTCTTGCTCAGTCCTTTGGTATCTGCAGGAACACAAAAACTTAGTGTCCTTCTTAGGTAGGTTTATTTAAATTATTGGTTTTCTTCTGAAGCACTGAAGATCTAAACAATCTTCTAAAATGTTCTACACTATGAACATCAAGTACAAGAGAAACTATAAAGACCCAGTGTGCATACAAAGAGTATGTACAGAAACCTCCTCCTCCTTCAGAGCAGAGAAGCCCCTGGGATTCATATAGCTGATTTAGCAAAACAAGATAAAATTTTGGCTGTTGCCACATTCCATAAAACAGTCAAAATCATAGGCTAATGAGTAATCCTGATAACAAACTCATATCTATTTACAAGCACAAAGTCATAAATTCTTAGGTCATGGCACTAGAAGAAATTCAGTCACACCAACTAGCCTCCTTTTGGCCAAACTGTACCCCTTCCCTATCCCAGACTATAAAAACCTAATTAGGGCCACAGAAGAGGTCCCACAGATTAAACACAGATTAGGAGCCTCAAGAACCAATAGTTACTACCCACTGATACCTGGACAGAGAGTGTCCTGCATTTCCCTCCATACCATGTACTGGATAGGACCTTTGTACTGGCCAGGGTTCAGCTTTCTGGAAATAAGCTCTCTGGTTGCCAGCACCCTCATTCCTTGCTCCAAGCTGCAGGGGACATAAATCATTTATCCTTAGACATCCTCCAGAGACTCAGGGAATGATATTAAGAGTACCATAGGGAAACACTTACCTATCTAAGAGAGTTGTGATGTCCTAGAAGAAAGGAGAAAGAGAGACGTCAGATGCCTGTTCATCAACTCCCAAAATTTCTTTGGTGATACCAGCCACCACCAGAATTTGTGCAGATGTCCCCAACTCGTCTCTACCAACTTCTTTCATCCTTCATACACTTTTTCTAATCTTCATCCCTTATCCTAACCCAGGTTAAACTGATCTTTTGCTCCTTCCAGAGTTCCCTTCTACAGGGAGCAAGGCAGAAGCCAATAAGACAATACTTAAGGTTAAGCTATCTTTACCTATACTTTCAAATAGTCTCAGAAGGAAAACACAGTAGGTATCCCAGTCCCAAGGCCACTTTTCCTTACTGTAGCTAATTAAACTTCTGAGTGCTGAGATGGTAACCAACGCCTCTTTAGAGGTGAAGCTTAAGAAAGCAAAGGTGGCCGGCGGTGGCTCAAGCCTGTAATCCCAGCACTTTGGGAGGCCGAGATGGGCGGATCACGAGGTCAGGAGATCGAGAGACGATCCCGGCTAACACGGTGAAACCCCGTCTCTACTAAAAAAATACAAAAAAATAGCCAGGCGAGGTGGCGGGCGCCTGTAGTCCCAGCTACTCGGGAGGCTGAGGCAGGAGAATGGCGTAAACCCGGGAGGCGGAGCTTGCAGTGAGCTGAGATCCGGCCACTGCACTCCAGCCTGGGTGACAGAGCAAGACTCCGTCTCAAAAAAAAAAAAAAAAAAAAAAGAAAGCAAAGGTTAGAAAACAGCTTTTCAGACAGGTCAACTTATGATTGCTGAGAGCCAAAGATACAACTCATGCTGCAAATTTTTTATTTTTGAGAAATAAAGCGTCAAGCTCTTTATGGAAAAATATTAAGCCATTAATATATACTATTAATAATGGAATTTTAAAATCTTATTTCCTAAGAGGATGAAAGTAAAGCTTTCTGCTGTGCATATAGCTGAAGTAGCCTCCTCCTTTTCTTCCAGAGAAACTTAAAAGCACTACTTAACTGTTTTGTTTTGTTTTGTTTTCCCTGGATGTGAAAAGCCACTTCTGTATTCTTTCCAAACCTCTTCCCCCCTCTAGGTAGGAAGGTACCCATAATCATACTGGTGTGGATTCTCACTTTGAGAAAGTCGAAGGAGTTCTGTTGTTCCGTCTTTGCCTGAATGCTCACCAACATATCCTTGGCTAAGAGACATTGCTCCTGAAGCTGGCTCAGATTCAGCTCCATCTCCTCATTCAAGGCTTTCCCCTCTTCCCGGAGCTCAGTTAAAATGTCCTTTTCTTTGCTGTGCAGGAACTGATGCAGCTTTAGAAACTCCATGGACACATGTTGCTGCAGATGTAGCTTGTTTTCCTGGAAACCTCCATGATTATCACCATAGTTATTACAGAGACTAGTGCTTGGGGATGGAGACCCACACCACCAACACTCACACACTTGGGAAATACCATCACAGAAAAATGTATACAAATGGCTACTGAATATCAAATTCAACCATACTAAAATGAGTCCTTTGGGAGACTTATTCCTTTTCCAACTAATTGAGTAGTTCAGGATGAAATAGGCAAAAGTCACCTCTTTTGCAAAAGTGACTCCTATTGCAGTACTCAGATGGTAACCAATGCCATATTAAATAAGACTGTGGAGTTAATCAAACATTCTAGAATGAATGATAATACCCTCCTAGATTGGTAAACCAAAAGCTTCCAAGTGGTACTGTTAGACTGGGGGTATTGGGAGGCTGGAAGAACTGTCCTTATCCAGAAATCAGAACTTGGGGAATGCCACTGTTACACTTGCATCTTTTTCCTTGAGTGAACTCATCATCCTCACAGGTAAACTATTTGACATCCTGGCTTCTCAGTTCCTCATTCTCCTCATGTCTAGTGATTTCCACATTTATTGATTCATTCCTATAGTCTCACCTAGGATTTCATCACCCCCAGCAATTGCATCATCTCCAAAATAACTTTTTATGCACCAGGCCCACTCAGACACTCCTATTGCAACAATTATTGGATCTCATTGAAACCTCCTATTCACCGATCCCTCCATTTCTATTCAGGAATTTCTACCTTCATGTCCTCTCTTATCTAGCTTGGATTCCATGGTCCATAATTATTATTGCACCCTTAAGATAGTCTTGGCTGGGCACAGTGGCTCATACCTGTAATTACAACACTTATGGAGGCCAAGCTGGGAGGATTGCTTAGAACAGGAGTTCAAGACTGGGCAACATAGTGAGACCCAGTCTCTCCAAAAATAAAATAATTAGCCAGGTGTGGCAAACTCGTCCCAGATACTCAGGAGGCTGAGGTGGGAAGATTTCTTGAGCCCAAGAGTTTGAGGTTACAGTAAGCCCATATCCACCTCTTCAATATCATCTTGCTTAGCATGTTACAGGTTTATTGGCCTTTTCTCTGTTTAACATAGGAGCTAACTTTCTGTCTCAGGACTTTTCCATATGCTGTTTTCTATTCCTAGAACATTCTTCTCCAGGCCATCTCCTTCATATTCCCACTCACCCAGTTCACTTGGGTGAGTTACTTATCCTTCAATTCTCAATTTTTAATAAGTGACTTCTTCAGAGAACACAACTCCCCCCCAGTCTAGATTATGTTCTCCATTTATATGCTATCATCATACCCTATACTTTCATTTATAGTACTTATCACAGTTGTTATTTTATTATTACTGTTGGGACTGTTTAATTAACAGCTGTCTCCCATCCCCAATATCTAGTATTATGACCCACTCAATAAATAGTTGTTAAATGAATGAATGAACGCTCACACCAATAGGAACTTTTACAACAGGAACAAGATTTTCTGGAGACACCATTACTTCCATATATCCATCTTCTTTCCCTGAGTCTACATATTTTTTCTTCCAGATGCCAAATACCTGAGAAGGCTCTTCTCCATAGAATAATGAATAAAGAAACAGAACGTCCAATTCAGCACCCCCAGCCTAGGGGCTGCTTTGCCAGATCTCTAGCCATTAATGTTGTCCTAGAGTGTCTATGAAGTTGAAAGTGAAGACAATAGCTTTATTTAGTTTGGAGGAAGCTAAGAAAGATCAAATCAGATGGAAAAAGCTTACAACCTTGGAGACCTAGTCCAGAGGTGTCTGGTTATAAACTCAAAGGAAATAAAGGTATTTCTTTGGACATAGCAATCTTTAGTGATTGATTTTTTTTTTGATGAATTCCTTTTTTTTTTTTTTGCCATAGATAAAGCCAAAGACCAGACACATTTCAATCCCACAACAGTCACCTGGTGACTGAACCATCAAAAAGATCAGCATATTAGGGGAAAGGTTTATCTGCTCTGTTGGTCAGCTATTAGGAACCTACTCCACCACCATATTCCTTTCTACCCTACAGTCTCAGTTTTCCAATTCTATAGCCTAGGTACCATTTAGTGTGTTGATAATATGTGTTAGGCACCTTTGTACCCATAGCTGAAGTTACATGGAGGGTGTGTTCCAGTTCTATCTCATAACCCCTCTTTCTTGCTCCTCACCTTGTGAGCAGCAATAGCTTCCTTCTGCATGTTCCTCAGGGACTGAAGCTCCTTCAGAGTTGTCTCCAGTTGACCCTGTTGGATGGCAAGCTCCTCCTGGGAATACCAAATAGAATTAACCCACACTGACTCAGGAGATGAAGGACCATAAACGACATCTTCCCCAAGGCCCCAGTGTGCAAGAAAAAAGCAAGCTCTTGCTGCAAAAATCTTCCCCTTCCCTTGTATCATAGTTTTTGTCTCGTTCAAGAATTGTGGAAAAGAAAAGAAAAAAAAAAAAGAGGCCAGGTGTGGCAGCTCACATCTGTAATCTCAGCACTTTGGGAGACTGAGATGGGAGGATCACTTGGGTCTAGGAGTTTGAGACCAGCCTGGGCAACATGGTGAGACCCCCATCTCAAAAAAAAAAAAAAAGAATTACAGCTTAAAACTTAGTTTTTCTCTCTTAATAGCTAGCTACAGGGGTTCGAAGAAAGGAATAGAACTTTACACATTTTCCACTCTAGTTATATGCTATTCTCAGAATCTATAATTTTACTTGTGTTGTTCTCACTTGGAACACTTGTTTCTTCCTTATGCCCTTCCAAATCCAAATGATTTCCCAGTTCAAGTCCTTTCCCTTTCTTTCACTATATGTCCCCTGACAATTTCGTCTTTCTCTAGTCATTTCAGAAATTCTAAACCCTTAAGAATTACAAATGTGACAAAATTTAACTTAATAGTAGACTATCTTACATTGTTTCTGTTGTTTTCTTCATTTTAAACTTAACCAATTTTTGAATTTTTTTATAATAAGAGCAATATCTTATATATCCGTGTTCTACACAGTGTTTAGCAGAGTGCTACCATGGCAGAGTTTAGGTACAGATTTAATTGAGGGAGTAAGCCAGGGCTCCTCCACTGTTCCTTTCCTATAAGCAGCAACTCTAGAAAAAGAAATTTGCAAGATACGTTGTACTTTCTGAGCAGTCTGGGTTTTCTAATCATCATTTGAATAAAGGGATGGGGTTCAAAGAAAGAAGAAGCCCTATAAAATATTTTTCCTAGTTTTTCTAAGGGATTGTTCAAGGCCCAGGGCTCACCCACCGTGAAGAAATGGACAGCATCAGAGATTTGCAGGAACTCCTTAGACTGCCCCACAGACAACCGAGCATCCTTGCATTGAAAGCAGATCAGTTTCCCATCTGGTTTACTGAACAGTTTCAGGTTCTCTCCATGCTCTGGGCACTGTGGATGGCCCTTGAGTAGGGGTAACTTCTTAATCTTCTCTACCAACTTGTCCAGTACAAGGTTGAATGTACAGTTGCTATACTGACATAGCATCTTGCAGTCAGGACAGAATGTTTCCTTTGCTTGCAGCCTCCAAAAGTCTTGGATACAGGCTTGACAGAAGTTGTGGCCACAGCTTAGCATCAGTGGGTCATGGAACCAATCGTTGCACAGTGGGCAGTGTAGCTCCATAGTAATATCTTGTATCACCACTTTAGAAGGTAGGTGGGCGATTGAATCGTTAATTTCAACATAGTTGCCTGGATCGATGTTGGAGGAGTTGGAGGATACCTTTAGAAAAGAACAGCTAGAATGAGTTTATCTTTCTTTTTGCCCATTTTAACACTCCAGGATGATGGGCTCCATTCCTAAAGGAGCTGAAAATTGGTACAACTAAAGTAAAAGCACATAATCTGTCCTTTGAAAGTGAACCAGTAAATTGAGTGTTTTCTGACATTATGGCATATGATGCTATTTAAACTTTAATGAAGAATCAAAGTAGAGGAAGAAACAGTACTAAGTCAAAGAAATGTACTTTGTTGTACATCTCTCTCTTTACCCACTTTCCCCATGTATCTGTTGAAAGTTTTATTTTCAGCTTCTGCTCTACTAGTTATTACCTTTATTCTATTTTTGTTTTCTAGAAATTATGTATGAAGAATTGGAAAATCAATCAGATTTCTCAGTCAGTAGTATTATATTATCAACCATCCAGGGTCCTCTTCACTCCTTTTTAAAAAACACATTTCAGGCCGGGCGCGGTGGCTCACGCCTGTAATCCTAGCACTTTGGGAGGCCAAGGTGGGCGGATCATGGGGTCAGGAGATCGAGATCATCCTGGCTAACACAAGTGAAACCCAGTCTCTACTAAAAATATAAAAAATTAGCCAGGCATGGTGGCGGGCGCCTGTAGTCCCAGCTACTCAGGAGGCGAGGCAGGAGAATGGCATGAACCCAGAGGCAGAGCTTTCAGTGAGCCGAGATTGTGCCACTGCGCTCCAGCCTGGGCAACAGAGCAAGACTCTGTCTCAAAAAAAAAAAAAAAAAAAAAAAAAAACCACACACATTTCAGAAACATAAATACAGAAGCTGGCGCAGTGACTCATACCTGTGGTCCCAACTACTCGGGAAAGGAAACTAGGAAGTACCTCAAAGTCATATAAATAAGTAGAGACCAGTGAAAAAGTAGCTACATAGGTAAAGTCCAATAATGCAGTTTTTGGTTTCTAACTCCTCTTTTTCCCCTATTCAATTTAAAAGACAAACGCACAAAACAATAGTTATGTGTGTTAATGGATATGCAATGTGTAAAGAGATAATTTGTGATAATAACAACAAAAAGGAGAGAACAGAGCTGAAAAGGAGCAGTTTTTATAGTAAAAATTTTTGCCTTGTACTATTAAAACTAAGTTGGCATTAATTCACCCTTGATCATTATAAAGTTGACTAATTATAACCCTCAGGTAACTACTAAAGAAAAAACTACTAAGCAATATAAAGAAAAAGAAAAGAGAAAGGAATCAAAATGTTATGCTAGAAAAAAATCAATTAATCACAAAAAAGGGAAGTAATGAAAGAATTTAGAAACAAAAAAGCACATAGAGAAAATAAATAACAAAATGGCATAGGTAAGTCTTTCCTTATCAGTAATTACTTTAGATGAAATAGATTAACTTCTGACTGAAAGGCAGAGATTAGGAAAATGGATAAAAATAATATGAACCGGCCGGGCGCGGTGGCTCAAGCCTGTAATCCCAGCACTTTGGGAGGCCGAGACGGGCGGATCACGAGGTCAGGAGTTCGAGACCATCCTGGCTAACATGGTGAAACCCCGTCTCTGCTAAAAAATGCAAAAAACTAGCCGGGCGAGGTGGCGGGCGCCTGTAGTCCCAGCTACTCGGGAGGCTGAGGCAGGAGAATGGCGTAAAAACCCGGGAGGCGGAGCTTGCAATGAGCTGAGATCTGGCCACTGCACTCCAGCCTGGGCGACACAGCGAGACTCCGTCTCAAAAAAATAAATAAATAAAAATAATATGAACCAACTATAGGCTATCTACAGGAGACTCACCTTAGAACCAAATACACAAACAAGTTGAAAGTAAAAAGTTGGAAAGATAATCCATACAAATATTTACCCAAAAAAGATGTAGTAGCTCTACTTATATCAGGTAAAATAGACTTTAAGGTAAAAATTGTTAAACTTGTTACAAGAATGCAAAGAAGGACATTATCAAGGATATGATAAAAGGGTCAATCCATCAAGAAGATAAAACAAGTATAAACATATACACACCCAACAACAGAGCCTCAAAATATGTGAAGCAAAAAGAGACAAATTTGAAGATAGAAATAGTTCTACAATAATACTTGTAAATTCCAATACCCCACAGTTTCAATAATGGACAGACCAACAAGATAGAAGGTCAGTAAGGAAACAGAAGAATTGAACAACACTGTAAGCCAACTAGACCTAATAGACATATAAAGAACACTTCATCCAACAACAACAGAATATACATTTTTCTTAAGTGTACATGGAACATTCTCCAGGATAGACCATATGCTAGGTCAGAAAACAAGTCTCAATACATTCTTAAAAGATGAAAACCAGCCAGGCACAGTGGCACATGCCTGTAATCCCAAAACTTTGGGAGGCCAAGGTAGGTGGATTGCTTGAGCTCAAGAGTTCGAGACCAGCCTGGGCAACATGATGAAACCCTATCTCTCCAAAAAAAAAGTACAAAAATTAGCTGGTCATGGTGACACATGCCTGTAGTCCCAGCTACTCAGGAGGCTGAGGTGAGAGGATTACTTGAGCCCAGGAGGTCAAGACTGCAGTGAGCCAAGGTTGTGCCACTGTACTCCAGCCTGGGTGACAGAGCAAGACCTTGACTCAGGGAAAAAAAAAAAAAAAAAAAAAAAAATCATACAAAATATCTCTTACTACAATGGAATGAAACTAAAAATCAATAACAGAAGGAAAACTGGAAAATTCATAAATATGTGAAAATTAAACAATACATTCTTAACCAATTGGTCAAAGAAGAAATTACAAGTAATATTAGAAAATACTTTGAGATGAGTAAAAACAAAAATGCAGGCTGTGCACAGTGGCTCACACCTCTAATCCCAGCACTTTGGGAGGCTGAGGCAGGCCAATCACTTGTGCTCAGGACCTTGAGACCAGCCTGGGCAAACTAGTGAAACCCTGCCTCTACCAAAAATATTAAAAAAAAAAAAAAAAAAATTAGCTGGGCATAATGGAACATGTCCATGGTCCCAGCTACTGGGGAGGCTGAGGTAGGAGGATCACTTGAACCCAGGAAGTGGAGGTTGCAGTGAGTCAAGATCACACCTACGCACTCCAGCATGGGTGACAAAACAAGACTCTGTCTCAAAAACAAATAAAAAAACACAGCATGCCAAAACTTATGGGATACAGTGAAAACAGTGCTAACAAGGAAAGTTATAGCTATAAACACCTACATTAAAAAAGAAAGACCACAAATCAATAACCAAAATTTTCCCTAGAACTAGAAAGACAGGTACAAGCCAAACCAAAGCTAGCAGAAGGAAAGAGTAAAGAATATAGGCAGAGCATGGTGGCTCATGCCTGTAATCCCAGCACTTTGGGAGGCGAGGCCAAAGCAGAAGGATCACTTGAACCCAGGAGTTGGAGACCAGCCTGGGCAACACAGTAAGACATCATCTCTACTAAAAATTATAAATAATAATTTTTAAAAAGGCCAGGTGTGGTGGCTCATGCCTGTAATCTCAGCACTTTGGGAGGCCGAGGTGGGCAGATCACTGAGGTCAGGAGTTCAAGACCAGCCTGGCCAATGTAGTGAAACCCCATCTCTACTAAAAATACAAAAATTAGCCAGACGTGGTGACGAGTGCCTGTAATCCCAGCTACTCAGGAGGCTGAAGCAGGAGAATCACTTGTACCTGGGAGGGGGAGGTTGCAGTGAGCTGAGATCATGCCATTGCACTCCAGTCTGGTTGACAGAGCAAGACTCCATCTCAAAAAAAAAAAAAAAAAAAGCCAGATGTGGTGCATGTACCTGTAACCCCAGCTATTTGGGAGACTGAGGTGAGAGAATCATTTGGGCCCGGGAGGTCAAGGCTGCAGTGGGCCATGATCGTGCCACTGCACTGTAGCCTGGGCAATACAGTAAGGCCCTGTCTCAAAAAAAAAAAAAAAAAAAAAAAAAAAGGCAAAAGAAAAACAAAATAAAAGAATAGAAAAGGATAGAGAAAAATTAATGAAATAAAAATGCAATTCTTTGGAGGGAAAATCCACAAAATTTAGAAACTGTTAAGTAGACTAATAAAGAAAAAAAGAGAGAAGATTTAAATCACTAAAATCAGAAATGAAAGCAGGTAAATTAGTATAGATCTTATAGAAATAATTATAAGAAACTATGAACAATTGTATGCTAACAAACGAGCAACCCAGATGAAATGGAAAAATTTCCAGAAACACATCAACTACCAAAACTGACTCAAGAAGAAATAGAAAATCTGAACAGACCTATACCAGGTAAAGCGAATAGATCAGTAATCAAAATCCTCCCAACGAAGAAAAGCCCAGGACCAGATGGTTTCACTGGTAATCCTACCAACTATTTAAAGAATTAAGACCAGTCTTTCTCAAACTCTTCCAAAAAAACAGGAGGGAACACTTCCTAATTCATTCTGTGAGGCTAGCTTGTCTTGGTCCTAAAGACCAATAAAGACATCACACAAAACAAACTATTTTTAGTTTTCTTTTTGCAAAAGAGTGAAAAGACAACTTACAGAATGGGAGAAAATATTTGCAAATCCTATACCAGATAAAGTCTGGTATCCAAAATAAAGAACTCTTAGAACTCAGTAGCAGAAAGATAAACAACCCAATTTTTAAAAGGGACAAAGGATTTGAATAGACAGTTATCCAAAGAAGATAAACAAATGACTGACAAGCACATGGGAAGATACTTAGTATTACTAGTCATTAGGAAAATTCAAATCAAAGCCACAATGAAATACCCCTTCACACTCACTAATATTACTATAATTTTTTAATGGAAAATAATAAGTATTGGTGATACAGAGAAATGGACTCTTGTACATCGTTAATTGAGAATACAAATTTGTGCAGCCACTGTGGAAATGAGTTTGGCAGTTCGTCAAAAAGTTAAACAAAAAATTACCATAAGACCTACCAATTCCACTTCTAGGAATATACCCAAAAGAACTGAAATTCAAACAAAAACTTGTACATAAATGTTAATAGCAGCACTATTCAC